ACTGTATACCCTTGGACAGATCCCTTATCTTTTTATTCCTTCTCATGCCTCGTTTTCAGGCATTAAAATGTTTAGTCCAAACTTAAATCCAGCTTAGACATGGCTCTTCTTCTGCAGCCCAGACTCACTCAGGGTGTGGGTTTTTTTTTTCATACACCTGCAGTCTGTGTTTTTCTTTGTAGCCATTACTCATTCACTGTAATACTTCCTGAGTACCTACTGTATGCTAGATACAGTTCTAAGTTCTCGAGCTAAATCACTTCCAAAACAGGCAAAGATCTCCTTCCTCATGCATTTTATATTCTAATGGGAGGAGACAGAGGCAATAAATAATGAATAAGTAAATTTTATAATATGTTAAAAAGTGATGAGTATTCCAGAAAAAGTAATACTGCATAAGGGTGGGGGAGGGAGAACCACTTCAGAGACAGATTGCCGTTTGAAGTAGGTGGTGAAGGTTAGCTTCACTGAGAAGGTGAGAAAAATCTTTGGCAAAGATTTGAAGGAGGAGAGAGGGTTATCTATAGATACCTGGGAGAGAGTGGGCTGAGGAGAAACAGCAGGTGCAATAATACTGAGGCAGGGTGTGCCAGTGGGTCTGGGAGGGCACGGTAAATGGACAGAACATCAAGCCAGAGAGGACAGGAGCCTGTGTGAAGACCATGCAGGAACTTGGATAATGTGGTGAACACTTGGGTATGAAACTGGAATTCAATGGTGAGTACTGAGAAGAGGTTTGACATAATTTGACCTGTGACCTAACCTTAGCAGCATCTAAAATGAACATAATCGTCTTCTGTGTTAGTAGCTATCTCGCCTCTAAACTGGGAGAGATCTGTTTCAGTCACCTTTGTGTCCAGCTGAGAGCAGCAGTCAATAAGTATCTGTTGACTAATTGGCAAAACCAGCTATTTCCAGGGGAGATGATATTCCATGGCTTATCTAGGGGTACTGGGCTCCAGAACTTCTAAACCAACCAGATCTGTTGGTTCTTTTGCCCCTATTTCTAAGAGGATAAATTACTTTTTCTTGAGCTTCCTTCCACCTGTGGGATCCTAATTACAATTCCAGAACCACACTCCTCATTCCCCAGATCTGCTGCATGTAGGTGATCAATAGGAATGGTCAGTGAATCCCAGGTGTGTGGAGTCCAGAGCCTATTCTCCAAGTCTCCCATTCTAGTCTTGCTATAATTTGCTGAATGTTTTACTATATGAGAATGCATTTTTTAAGTAAAAACTTTTAATTTCTTTTTGAACAAGTACATGTAGCTGAGATTAAGGGGTACAAGAGCTCCTGGCCCCAAGGGTCTCAAACAGACCACTGGTGTTGGCCACTCACTGCTGACACATTCCAAAGGCAGAGAGAGGAGTGGTGGTGAATGTGAAAGAATTTATTTCAGTGAGGCCAACACCAGGAAGACAGCAGACTATCATCTCAAAGGCCATCTCCAAGTGTGGAAAATATTTCCAGGCTTAAATATGGAAAATGTGGGTCAAAGGTCGGTGGGTTTGGGCAAGGGGGAGGTAAAGGTCAGGTGGATCATTGCCTTGGAGTCAGTCCTGCGGGTCCTGCTAAACCAGGGCAGTCCTTATGAGTGCTTGAGGGAGTAGTTTCAGTTGAGTCAGGGGATACTTTGACCACAAGGTCTTTTGCCTGAGTTAAAAAGTAAGCTGGAAAGAAGAATTTAAACATTAGAAGGTACAGTTGGAGGTTAAAGTGGAGGTAGGTGGTTGAAGTCCTCTTTCATAAATAAAAATTTAATTGGAGTGACTTAATAGAAAAGCCCACTTTGATCTGTTTCAAAGTCCAACTACTTCCTCTCTCCAGAAGCAGCTGAGATGAGCAGTTTCTAGTGCCCCCTACGAGAAGTATCCTAAACAGCTTGATGCCTACTATCAAGTTTAATCCTCACATGTCTAAATGGTCTCCTAGGACCATCTCCCATTTTCAAATGAGAAGACTGAGATTTGGGACAGGAGTAACAACTTTAAAAGCACACAGCTCAGTACCAGAGGAAGCCAAATTCAAATCCAAATAGACTTTGGGTTATTGGTCCTCATGAACTTCTATAGCTTCTATATAGCTGTACTGTATAGTAATGGATAAAGAGGTAGCTAAACACTGGAGCTAAAGAACCTGAGGGTATTTATACAGGGAAGAGGGGGTTACTGGTGCAGGAGAAAGCACAAATCCAGACATCAGAAGACAGATATGTAAGGCAAGGAGACTAGCGCTGTGCAGAAATGGATGGGATGGGGTAAAATCAGTAGCCCCTCCCCAGGACAGGGAAGTAAATGAGGCAGAGGTAAACAGCTTGGATGTCTCTAGTAGGCACCCAATAAAGAACACAACAGGAAGAATAGCTGATCCTCCGGGACTCCTCCTAGACCAGGAGAGAGCCTGAGATTCCTAGGAACCCACCAGGAGGTAACTTCTTCTTTTTTTTTTAATAAATTAATTTTTATTGGTGTTCAATTTAACAACATACAGAATAACACCCAGTGCTCATCCCGTCAAGTGTCCCCCTCAGTGCCCGTCACACATTCACCCCCACCCCCCGCCCTCCTCCCCTTCCACCACCCCTAGTTCATTTCCCAGAGTTAGGAGTCTTTATGTTCTGTCCCCCTTTCTGATATTTCCCACACATTTCTTCTCATCCATTTGGGGAATATGAATAATAGTGAAAGGGAATATAAGGGAAGGGAGAAGAAATGTGCAGGAGGTAACTTCTTATTTCATGCCACCAAATTCCTTCAGAAAATATCATCTCCATTTCCCAAGTAGATACAACTATTTCTTAAAGTCCTTTAACAGAGTCTTAGAAAGGGACAGCAACTTGTTACCTAATTCTGCAGGATTTAGGCTTCTATGTGCTGGGGTCCTGTTTTCCCTCCCCTCTGTGGCAAAGTGATCAAGATAAAAGAAATCACTGGACAGAAGGGAGAGAGTTGTCCAGGTGATTTCCTGTTCCCGGTACTCTGAAGCCCCATTGTAGGTAGGTGACAAGAGGGCACAGAATAGCAACAGCAAGAGGCATTTAGGGCAGACACTAGGGAGAACTTCTTGGCAGAGAATTAAGAGACTTATGACTGTGTGATTCTGAGGTATTTAGCACTACTTATTTCAGGGATATTTAAGAAAGGACAGATACCTTCAGGGACCGAGGGGCTAGGTGGTTGGTAGAAGCCTATGAATTTTCCCAGGGTAGCTGAGGAATTCTTCCCAGGACAGGACTGCTGCTCAACATAAGCAGGTTTTTCAAGCCATGCTGTTTCTAGGTTGCCCAGAGAAAAGCATAAAAAGGAACCAAATTGCTTCTAGTATCCTGTCTAAGTGTGTCTCCCCAGACTCCCACCTTGGATCCTGGCTTCTACAGTCTGTAAGCCCTCTGGCTTCCTCAAAAGTCTTCTGATGTGGGTCTCTGTCACCGTGCCTTCATTGCCAAGTAACTGGCACCCTTATTTTGTCCCTGGCTTGTGAATCTCCATTTCCAAAGTTCATGTCTCCAACAGAGACCTCTGCATTTAGGGAGCCCCAATCCCTGCTGGTCATGGGGGTGCTTTTAGTGTATTAACCATGGCTGGTCAGCTTCCCAACAGACTAACTCTTGAAGAGTGGATCTTTGGGGTGAGGAATAGCTAGAGTGAGAGCCGACAGGCAATCTGTGTGCATTGGGGCACTTTTTCCATCTGGGAGGACATGGGATCTGTGGTGACCTGTAATGTCAAAAATCCCTTATTCAACTGCAAAATTTTTCTCTTTGGTGAGTGTTTCTGGAAAACAGCTTGTCTCAGAGGCTGAGAGCCCTCTGCTTTTCAGCTTTTTTTCTTTAAGATTTGTATTTATTTATTCATGACAGACACAGAGAGAGAGAGAGAGGCAGAGAGAGAAGCAGGCTCCCCACAAGGAGCCCAATGCGGAACTCGATCCCAGGACTCCAGTATCACTCCCTGGGCTGAAGGCAGGTGCTCAACTGCTGAGTCACCCAGGCATCCCTGCTTTTCAGCTCTTACCTTGGGGTCTGAGGATCCACTGCCAGTCAGCAGTGTGGGCAAGTGAGATCCATTCTACTGGGAAGTTAGTGTTCTAGGCCTGAGTCTGAGATTGACTTACTGTGTGACCTTAAGGAAGTATTGTTCCACTCAGGGTTTTCATCTTATCCCCTCAATGACCTGGGAAGGTCTTTGTTTTTCTGACCCAATGACTCAAACAGAGCTACAGAAGAGCTAATACTAATTGAGTTGGACAGGACAGCAGGTTGAGTGGGATAATTTGCAGAGACAGAGAATATTAAGTTCTCTTAATATTTGGGCAAAGTATGTTTGACATGCATGATAGATATCCAAGAGAAGAAGTCAAGCAGATTGGGATGCAACAGAGAGATCCAGGCTGGAGACATGTGTGAGTGTCATCAGCGAGGAAGTTGGGGTTCAAGCTACCATATTGGGTGAGAGCATGTATGGAGTGAGTGTGGACAAAGGAGATGCGTCAGAATCATCAAAAGAGAAAGTGAAGAAAGGAGGTGAAAGAAAGTACATCAAGCCCATGGGAACTCTGTTTCTCTCTTCCTGGTTGGAGCTAGAACTTGCTGTCAGTCCTGGGCATAAATCTGCTCTTTGTCCCCTGGATCGGAGAAGGACAAACAGTGTATGTTCTCATTCATTTGGGGAATATAAATAATAGTGAAAGGGAATGTAAGGGAAGGGAGAGGAAATATGTGGGAAATATCAGAAAGGGAGACAGAACATAAAGACTCCTAACTCTGGGAAACGAGCTAGGGGTGGTGGAAGGGGAGGAGGGAGGGGGTGGGGGTGAGTGGGTGGCGGGCACTGAGGGGGACACTTGACGGGATGAGCACTGGGTGTTATTCTGTATGTTGGTAAATTGAACACCAATAAAAAATTAATTTATATATAAAAAAAGTACTGTCCTTGCTGATCCCCAAGCTCTGGGGTTGTGCATTGCATAAGCACAGCAGGAGGACTGCCATCACCCCAACTAAGTCTTGGGTTATCCATAGTTAATGATTAGCTGTGCTCTCCATGAAGACTGTGGGGATTCCAGGAGCTGTCTGCTCAGGAGGAGGGTGGACCAAGAGATCCGTGGAGAAACTTCCCAAAGGACTTTGCAGGTGAGCACCATTGTCAGTAATGGTGATCTAATGGGTCACTAAATGATCTCTAGATGTCAGGGATAGGGAGGAGAGTAAAAATCCCCAGGAAAATGCAATCTGCAACACTAGGGACCTTGAAAGGGCCAAGTCTTAGTGAGGAGGCAGCACTGGGCAAAGGAAAAGTATCTTAAGCATAGCAAAGAGAAGGACTGGAGTGGCTGGGAGAAGGACAGTCAAAGGGGGTGAGAATTGCATAGTAGTCAGGGAAGGAAGCCTGCCTGAGGAGGTGAGGCCAGAAGAATGAGCAAGAGACACCCATGGAAAGAGAGAGGAACCAGAAGGTACAAAGGTAATAAATATTCCCACCTAGGAGCTGGTAAAATATCTTTACTTGTTTGTGTAGAAAATAGGAGAGGAGACACAAATGTTCGGAGACCTGAACATTCTGGCTCCTGCTGCCTAGACAATGAAGGATGGATCCAGCCATTGGTGGTTTAGATCACCACCTGACAGACTAATGGATCATAGAGAATTGCTTATTGTTAATAAGTAGGATACATAACAGATCCTTTATACTATTAATAAAGTTTTTTATTGCTTTGAGGTATGCCTGGAAAAAAGGAGCTATCTCAGTCAAGATTCAGTTGAAGGAAATAGATGCTACCTGTATTAGTCAGTATTTACTGCAGTAACAAACATCTAGGAGCTTATACTCATACATATTTTCTTTTTCATGGGCTTGTGTGTTAGCTGTGGCTGTTAGGTTTCATCTCAGCTCCACATGCGCTATCATCCAGATATGCTACTGGGATATGCTATTCTTATAATAGAAAACAGAAATGCAAGAGTTCCTGACCAGCTGCACAGTCTCATCTACTCACATCTCATTGACCAAAGCACATCCCATGAATAAGCCAAAGTCAATGAGAGGTAGATACAATCTCTTTCCCAGCATGCACTGTGCAAGTCATATAAAAATGAATGGGGACATGAAATCCTACTGTAGGGAACAGGCAATTGTTGGGAAAAAAATTCATTCTACCACACCACACTATTTTAAACACAGAGGTATTTATTGCATGAAATTAGATGTTTATAGAATTATCAGATGGGTTAAAGAGGCAGGATTTGGACTGGGTATTGTGCTTTTGGAGAATGGCACACCAGAGGGAAACAGAACTGAATGCTGAGTGCCAATTTACTCATAAACAACACAAAATCTTTTCTGGAAGAAGCCTGTAAGGTTGCGATGAATCTCATTAAGCAGCTGACTAGAGCAGTCTATGCCAGAAAGATTCACCACTGTGACCTTTTTGCTTCACAGATCTGACCATGTATTGGCTGCGGAAACTCCAGGGTCTCTGTATCCTATGGAGGACCCAGATCTCTAGTCGTACTGTCCACCTCCATACCAAGCAACTGGCATCCCTGCGGTGGGGTCACCAGGAGGTCCCTCCCAAGTTTAACTTTGCTAGTGATATGATTGATCACTGGGCTGGCATGGAGAAGGTAATGGGGTAGAAAAAGGGCACAAAACTGAACAAAGTTCATTGATTCATCTACTCATTCCATAAATATTCATTGAGTACTTATATGTCAAGTACTATGATGAGCTATGAATAATTTGTCCATTTTACATGAAGGAAGCATAAGTAGGAGCAAGAGAGTATGGGGTTGGCAGAAAAGAGCCCCCGGGGGCTGGTACTAGGTAGATCAGTCTGAAACACGTCCCCACCATGGCCCGAGTAGATCAATCTGGAACACATCCCCACCCTGCCCTGGACAGCCAACACACAGTTGCCAATACATACATGATCTGTTGTAACCTCCCAGGGTAAAACAGGAGAAGGGGGCTGTCATCATAGAGAAAGTAGATTTGAGTTTAGTAAGACAAAATCAGCACTGACCAAAGGTTGAGTCAGTCTTCTCAGAAAAGTATGGGTTCTTGTCATTAGGGGTGTGTAAGCAGGGTGGCCAATAGGCAGAGATTGTTCAAAGGGCTCCATCACGAGCTATCAGAGAAACAAAGCAATGTGGAAATTTTTGTTTCCTTTCCCTCCCTGGACTTCTAGAATTCCACCCCATTTGTTGCCAATCCTGCTACTGCCTTCACCTGACATTCTGTGCACCTTTCTGGAGCATGGAAGATGAATTCCTGGCTAGTATATGGGAAGAGGTGGAACATGGCACTCAAAGGGAGTCATACCATGATGTTGGCTTGAGGTCCCATGACACAGCCTTGATGTGCAGATCACAAATGCTGGGCCTCTAGAGGAAGATGGCCCATGGTGCAGGGAACTCTGAAAAAATTAGTAGTAATAAGTCAACATTTTTTTTCCTTTTCATTTGTTTATGTATATATTTATTGGAGTTCAATTTGCCAACATATACTATAACAACCAATGCTCATCCCATCATATGCCCCCCTCAGTGCCCGACACCCGGTCAACCCATCCCCCCGCCCACTTACCTGTCCCCTACCCCATGGTCATTTCCCAGATTTAGGAGTCTCATGTTTTGTTGCCCTCTCTGACTTTTCCCACTCATTTTCTCTCCTTCCCCTATAATCCCTTTCACTATTTTTTATATTCTCTGTATGAGTGAAACCGTATAATGATTATCCTTCTCCGACTGACTTACTTCACTCAGCAAAATACATTGCAGTTCCATCCACGTTGAAGCAAATGGTGGGTATTCCTTGTTTCTAATGGCTGAGTAATATTCCATTGTATATATAGATCACATCTTCTATCCATTCATCTTTCGATGGACACCGAGGCTCCCTCCACAGTTTGGCTATTGTGGACATTGCTGCTATAAACATTGGGGTGCTGGTGTCTCAGTTTTTCACTACATCTGTATCTTTGGGGTAAATCCCCAGCAGGGTAATTGCTGCGTGGTAGGGCAGATCTATTTTTAACTCTTTGAGGAACCTCCACACAGTTTTCCAGAGTGGTTGCACCAGTTCATATTCCCACCAACAGTGCAAGAGGGTTCCCCTTTCTCCACATCCTCTCCAACATTTGTGGTTTCCTGCCTTGTTAATTTTCCCCATTCTCACTGGTGTGAGGTGGTATCTCATTGTGGTTTGGATTTGTATTTCCCTGATGACAAGTGATCCAGAGTATTTTCTCATGTGCTTGTTGGCCATGTCTATGTCTCCCTCTGTGAGATTTCTGTTCATGTCTTTTGCCCATTTCATGATTGGATTGTTTGTTTCTTGGGTGTTGAGTTTAATAAGTTTTTTATAGATCTTGGAAACTAGCCCTTTATCTGATATGTTATTTGCAAATATCTTCTCCCATTCTGTAGGTTGTCTTTTAGTTTTCTTGACTGTTTCTTTTGCTGTAAAAAACAGAAGCTTCTTATCTTGATTAAGTCCTAATAGTTCATTTTTGCATAGGTTTCCCTTGCCTTGATAGATGTATCTTGCAAGAAGTTGCTGTGGCCAAGTTCAAAAGGGGTGTTGCTGTGTTCTCCTCTAGGATTTGATAGATTCTTTTTTTAATTTTTTTTATTTAATGGATTCTTGTCTCACATTTAGATCTTTCATCGTTTTGAGTTTATCTCTGTGTATAGTGTAAGTGAGTTGTGTAGTTTCATTCTTCTGCATGAGGCTGTCCAATTTTCCCAGCACCATTTATTGAAGAGACTGTCCTTTTTCCAGTGGATAGTCTCTCCTGCTTTGTCGATTATTAGTTGACCATAGAGTTGAGGGCACATTTCTGGGTTTGCTATTCTCTTCCATTGGCCTCTGTGTCTGTTTTAATGCTAGGACTATACTGTCTTGATGGTCACAGTTTTGTAGTTGAATTTGAAATCCATCATTGTGATGTCCCTGGCTCTGGTTTTATTTTTCAATATTCCCCTGGCTATTTCAGGACTTTTCTGACTCCACACAAATCTTAAGATGATTTGTGACAACTCTCTGAAGAAAGTCCATGGCATTTTGATAGGAATTGCAATGAATGTGCAAAGTGCCCTGGGTAGTACAGACATTTTCACAATATTAATTCTTCCAATCCATGAGCATGGAATGTTTTTCCATCTCTTTGTGTCTTCCTCAATTTCTTTCAAAAGTGTTCTATAGTTTTTAGGGTATAGATCCTTTACCTCTTTGGTTAGGTTTATCCCACGGTATCTTATGCTTTTGGTGCAGTTGTAAATGGGATTTATTCCCTCTCTTTCTCTTTCCTCAGTCTCATTGTTAGTGTATAGTAATGCCCACCCATTTCTGGGCATTGATTTTGTATCCTGCCACACTGCCAAATTGCTGTATGAGTTCTAGCAATCTTGGGATATAGTATTTTGGGTTTTCTATGTACAGTATCATGTCATCTGTGGAGAGGGAGAGTTTGACTTCTTCTTTGCCAATTTGAAGGCCCTTTATTTCTTTTTCTTGTCTAATTGTTGAGGCTAGGACTTCTAGTACTATGTTGAATAGCGGTGATGAGAGTGAACATCCCTGTCATGTTCCTGATCTTAGGGGAAAGGCTCTCTTAGGGGAAAGTGTTTACCCATTGAGAATGATATTTGCTGTGGGCTTTTCATAAATGGCATTTAAGATGCTGAGGAATGTTCCCTCTATCCCTACACTCTAAAGAGTTTTGGTCAGGAATGGATGCTGTATTTTATCAAATGCTTTCTCTGCATCTATTGAGAGGATCATATGGTTCTTGTTTTTTCCCTTGTTGATATGATCTATCACGTTGATTGCTTTATGAGTGTTGAACCAACCTTGCATCCCAGGGATAAATCTCACTTGGTCATGGTGAATAATTTTCTTAATGTACTGTTGGATCCTATTGGCTAGGATCTTGTTGAGAATTTTTGCATCTGTGTTCATCAGGGATATTGGTCTATATTTCTCCTTTTTGGTGGGGTCTTTAAGGATTGCTATGAGGATGCTTATGATGCCTCATAAAATGAGTTTGGAAGTATTCCGCCCCTTTCTATCTTTCAGAACAGCTTTAGTAGAATAGATATTGTTTCTTCTTTAAACGTTTGGTAGAATTCCCCTGGAAAGCCATTTGGCCCTGGACTTTTGTATCTTGGGAGGTTTTTGATGACTGCTTCAATTTCCTCCCTGGTGATTGGCCTTTCCAGGTTTCCAATTCTTTCCTGTTCCAGTTTTGGTAATTTGTGTTTTTTCCAGAAATGTGTCCATTTCTTCTAGACTGCCTAATTTATTGGCATGTAGCTGCTCATAATACATTTTAAAAATCTTTTGTATTTCCTTGGTATTGGTAGTGATGTCTCCTCTTTCATTCGTGATTTTATTGAGTCTTTCTCTCTCTCTCTCTCTTTTTTTTAACAAGGCTAGCTAATGGTTTATCTATCTTAATAATTCTTTCAAAAAACCAACTCCTGGTTTTGTTGATCTGTTCTACAGTTCCTCTGGTCTCTATTTCATTGAGTTCTGCCCCAATCTTTATTAACTCTCCTTTCTGCCTGGTGTAGGTTTTATTTCCTGTTCTTTCTCCAGTTCCTTTGGCTGTGAGGTTAGCTTGTGTATTTGAGTTTTTTCCAATTTTTTGAGGGAGGCTTGTATTGCGATGTGTTTCTCTCTAAGAACTGCTTTTGCTGTATCCCAAAGATTTTTGAACTGTCGTATTTTAATTTTCACTAATTCCATGAATTTTTAAAATTCTTCTCTAATTTTCTGGTTAACCCATTCATCTTTTAGTAGGTTTCTCTTTAACCTCCATGTGTTTTACATTCTTCCAATTTTCTTCTTGTGATTGAGTTCTAGTTTCAAAGCATTGTGGTCTGAAAATATGCAGGGGACAATCCCAATCTTTTGGTATCGCTTGAGACCTAATTTGTGAACCAGTGGTCTATTCTGGAGAAAGTTCTATATGCACTTGAGAAGAATGTGTATTCACTTGTGTTTGGATGGAAAGTTCTGTATATATCTGTGAAATCCATCTGGTCCAGTGTGTCATTTAAGGCTCTGGTTTCTTTGGAGATGTTGTGCTGAGGATATCTGTCATTTGCTGAAAGTGCCATGTTGAAGTCTCCTCCTATTAATGTATTATTATCTAGGTATGTCTTTACTTTGGTTGTTAATTGATTGATATACTTGGCAGCTCCCACATTAGCGGCATAAATATTCATGATTGTTAGGTCTTCTTGTTGGATAGACCCTTCAAGTATGATATACTGTCCCTCTTCATGTCTTACCACAGTCTTTGGCATAAACATTAATTTATCTGATATGAGAATGGCTACCCCAGCTTTCTTTTGAGGACCATTTGTTTTTTTTTTTATTGGAGTTCAATTTGCCAACATATAGTATAACACCCAGTGCTTATTCCGCCAAGTGCCCCCCTCAGTGCCCATCACCCAGTCACCCCCATCCCCCGCCCTCCTCCCTTTCACCCACCTCTTGTTCGTTTCCCAGAGTTAGGAGTCTCTCATGTTCTGTCTCCCTTTCTGATATTTCCCACCCCTTTTTTTCTCCTTCCCCCTTTATTCCCTTTCACTATTTTTTATATTCCCCAAATGAA